TTGAGCGATCCTAACTATAAAATAACAGAGCGCTTACTTTCGTGCTGCAATTGCCGCTGGAACGGTTAATAGTGCGCAGGTGTTCTCCTTGCCACCGAAACCGCCACCGATACGTCTCACCCTAACGATGATCTTGTGTGCAGGGATTCCGAGGCACTTCGCTGTTTCCATCTGGAAAGCATTACATGTTTCTTTGATCCATGTCCTTTAAATTCAACATAATATGAGTTCAAAGTTGAAAAGCAGGGTTTGGAAAGCTCACTGTTTCCAAGGGGAACACAGTAAGACCGAGAAAAATAAAGGAAAATTTTGCGAATTATTTGCAAGTCAAGCTACTCCAGTGGAATTGAAATACATTTCACAACCCTCACCTGAACGTCATTTATTCCTTGGGAACTGGCGATAATTTCGAGTTCATCATCCTCATGAGGTATGACAACGCATTGTTGGGTTTCCAGATAGAAATGCTCCTGCAATAGCCTTTCACATAACCAGATTCCATCTGGAAGACAAGATTTATTTTCTACAACAGTTATTGATGTCGAACAAGGCATGCTTGAAAAAAACTCCATGTCTCTAGTTACGTTTCCAATCGCGCCTCGGCAGCCGTTGCGAAAACACACAACGAAGGGAGTCGTAATTTGGCCGCTGGGGAGAGAGAGAGGTCCTAGTTGCCTTGGAAGGATTTTTATAGCATTTTCTTTCGTTTTAGGTGCAGTGCAGAATCCTATAGGGGCGCATTTTGGTCGATGGGGAAGGGTAGTCGTAAAAATGTTTGCGCGCTTTGAAAAAATTTCGTTCTCACCACAACAAATTTTTTCTCACCACCAGTGAAATCCCCTCTCCACCCATTTATTCCCCATCCTTGGTAGGCAGTGCCTCGAAACTACCTCACAATCACTATTTCTTATCGTAGACTGTAATAGCTGTCTTTAGAGAATCCTGTCCCACCCCGCTGGACGCCTGCTTTCAGGGTAAAAGCATTGAAAATTCTTGTAAAATAGGTGGCAAGCTCTGTGATGCTAGCAAGGTGTAAATAGGATGTGAGACACTGAGACACCGCCAAGTCACCCGTTCCAATGCTCTTCATGCCTCAGCACTTCACGCTCCTCCAACCTCTCCCCGCCGACGGTCACACGGAAAAATGTAAATCAGATCGCCTACAAAAAAATGAAAGAACTAACCTGTCCACCCATCCTAATTTCTCCCTCAATAACGTGTTCGTAACGGCTCCAGTCGTTCTCCACCACCGTATCATTCTCCAATAAAGATGAATGGATAGTAAGTGGTCGCATGAGGTACGAGTTAGCATCAATGGCATCCTTCAAAAGCATCGGCTTACTCGATAGAACTAATCAAATGTTGGGTAGCTTGGCTTGTCGCCTCTGAACTCTCATTACTACCGTACCTCGATAGAAATAATTGCGTGATCCCTGATATATTCCATTTTGACGGCGTTGGCTGCACGTCGAGCTGTTTCGTGATCTTGTGCGATTATGGCTGCGATGGGTTGGCCGTGGTAGGTTATCTGGAACTTGTTAATTTCTTTCTTAGGTAGCACAGCTTCTCAATAATAAGTGTCCTTCAGCGGCTCCTGACCCACCTTGTCTTGCGCGAATACCGGCGTGTCGTTAGAATGGCCGATTCTAACACCCTCTTGCACATCATCGGCGTCGATGTAGCCCACAACGCCGTCCAGAGCCATCGCTTCCGTGTAGTCCACTGATTCAAGCGTACCGGAGGCAATCGGGGACATTACGAATGCCATGTGAAGGCAGTCTAGAATGATTGCTCTAGCACTCTAT